GAACCTGGGGCAGAGTTTACAGTGAGCCGAGGTTGCACCATTGCACTGCAGCCTGGGTGACAAGAGTAAAACCCTGTCCACTACCAAAATAATAAATAAATAAACAAATAAAAATAAAACTAGAGAAGTGAGGGATTAAAAATTACATATTGGGTACTATGTACACTATTCAGGTGACAGATACACTAAAAGCCCAGACTGCACCACTATATAATTCATCCATGTAGCTAAAAGCCAATGTACCCCTGAAACTATTGAAAAAAAATTTACCATATGATCCAGCAATATAACTTTCAGCTGTATATCCAAAAGAATTGAAATCATGATCCCAAAGAGATATTAGCACTCCCATGAATAGCACAATGAAGTACTATTCACAGCAGCCAAGATATGGAAGCATCCTTAATGTCCATCAATAGATGAAATGGATAAAGAAATGTGGTATATACAAGGAAATACTATTTAGCCATTTTGTAAAAAAGGCAATTCTGCCATGTGGGATGACATCGATGACCTCAACGTTATTATGCTGAATGAAATAAGCTGGAACAAAAAGACAAACACTTCAAGCTTCCAGTTACATGATGTATCTAAAATAGTCAAATTTGTAGACCAAAAGGTAATGGTGGTGTAAAAAGCTGTGGAAAGGGAGAAATGGGGAGTTACTATTCAACGGGCATAAAGTTTTAGTCAAGCAAGATGAATAAACTAGAAATCTGCTGTGTAACATTGTGCATATCATCAATGATAATGCAGTTTACAATTTAAAAAATCTGTTGAGTGTGGATCTCAATAAAAGAAAACTTTTAAAAAAAGAATCCCATCATGAGATGTGCAATAATCTCTGACTTAACTTTGTACAGAGTATCTTATTGCTATTGCCCTGTAGAAATTACAAGCTTGAAGCTGCCTACAGCTATGCTTTTCTTTCTCTTTTTTGTTAAAATGGTGAAAAGGTATACATATATTTAGAATTAGCCAGCTGAACTCAGTTTAGATGATCCCAATTTTGTTGGCAACATCCAAAGCATCATAATCAGGAGCCAGTCAAACCCATGCCTTCCTCTCTCCATCAGGCCGAATCAGGGTGCTGACCTTGGCCACATCAATGTCACAGAGCTTCTTCACAGCCTGTTTGATCTGGTGCTTGTTGGCTTTAACATCCACAGTGAATGCAAGTGTATTGTTATCTTCTATCTTCTTCATGGCAGACTCAGTGGTCAACGGAAACTTGATGATAGCAGAGTGGTCAAGTTTGTTTGTCCTGGGGGTGCTCTTCCAAGGATATTTGGGCTGCCTCCAGAGTCACAGTGTCTTGGTCTGCCAGAAGGTGGGTGACGTGTGGATCTTCTTTATTTTGTGACTGTGGACACCTTTCAACACTGCCTTCTTGGCCTTGAAAGCCTTCCCTTTGGCTTCGGCTTTAGGAAGGGCAGGAGCTTCCTTCTTCACTTTCAGCACCATCTTGTGAAAAGCCCTTTTCTTTTCTTTCTTTTTTTTTTTTTTTTTTTTTTTTCGAGATGGAGTGTCACTCTGTTGCCCAGGCTAGAGTGCAGTGGTATGATCTCACTGCAACCTCCGCCTCTGGGTTCAAGTGATTCTCCTGCCTCAGCCTCCAGAGTAGCTGGGATTATAGGTGTCTACCACCATGCCTGGCTAATTTTTGTATTTTCAGTAGAGATGGGGTTTCGCCATATTGGCCAGGCTGGTCTTGAACACCTGACCTTGACTGATCCAACCACCTTGGCCTCCGAAAGTCCTGGGATTACAAGGGTGAGCCATTGCACGTGGCCTTTGCTTTTCTATTTTCATTATAACCGCATCATTTTGTCTGAAGGTTCAGCCTGCTCCGGTTAGATATTATATGAAATAATAGCTTTAAAATTATGTATTAGATGAAGGAGCTTAATTAAAACATAGAAACATTCTTTTTTTAAAAAAAAAGTGGTAATAATAATATATCACAACAAAGCAATGTGCTATAGCAAGCAGAATGTTTATATTCTTCCTTTGGGGGCAAAAGCAGTAGGAAAATAGAAGTACAAGAAGCAGGTCAAAATCCCTACTGCCTTTGGTGAATTTATGTAACTTTTTTCTGGAAAAATCTCTCCAATTTTAATATAGAATTAAAATAGATTCAAGAATTTCAGAATTTGAACATAACTAATTAACCTAATGTAATACAGCTCTCAGAGTTCAAAGAAGAGATTCTCTAACAGTTTCAAAACAGCATGGGTCTAACTTTAAGTGATCTTTTATTGAATAATTGATATATTTATATATAACACTGAAAATTTGAACAAAAAGCATCCATGTAAATTGAATACTAACTATATTTAATTAACTCTAATCAATATAAAATGGGAAAATGTATTCTTTCATTTCTATCAAGTGAGAGATGAGATTAAACTTCTATCATAATATGCTAACTATCAATTAAAGACTACTATTTTTCCAGGTTTGTTTTTTAATAAGAGGAATCAAAAAGGCACTATAGAGGTGGTTTTTAAAAAGCTATAAATTTTTGAAAAGCCACAAATAATTACACACTTTTTCTCATTCCCCAATAATACACATATACTTATGTTTTGCAAAGACAACTTACATTTCATATTGTGCCTTGATAGTTTTATCTTAACTCTATTTTCTTTTCTTTTTTGTGGGAGGGGGTGGGGATGGAGTTTTGCTCTTGTTGCCCAGGCTGGAGTGCAATGGCACGATCTTGGCTAACCACAACCTCAGGTTCCCAGGTTCAAGTGATTCTCCTGCCTTAGCCTCCTGATTAGCTGGGATTACAGCCATGCGCCACTACGCCTGGCTAATTTTGTATTTTTAGTAGAGACGGGGTTTCTCCATGTTGGCCAAACTGGTCTTGAACTCCCAACCTCAGGTGATCCACCCAGCTCAGCTTCCCAAAGTGCTGGGATTACAGATGTGAGCCACTGCGCCCAGCTTCTGAACTCTATTTTCTTAGAGCGAGATGAAAGGGTTCATTGTGCTTCACCACAAGAATCCACCAAAATTCTGATGCTTTGAATTGCCCCTATTGTCAGATCCATATTGGTCTTCCTAAAGCTCATCAAAGAAATCTGGTTCTAAAACAATATTCCTCATTCATTATTCTGACAATAACCAAGTATTCCTCTAGATTGGAGAAGCTCTACATATGTACTTTTATTTGTTCAGAAAGTTCTTCATACTGTAATCCAATTTCAGATACATGAGGAGAAAAATCTGTAGTCTAATATTCACTAGGGTAATACTACTCAAATTTGCTCAGTTGATGGAATCACTGATGGTTAAAGTTGCGTTGGATTTATTTATTTATTTGTTTGATAAAGTCTCACTCTGTCGCCCTGGCTGGAGTGCAGTGGTGTGATCTGGGCTTACCGCAACCTCCACCTACCAGGTTCAAGTGATTCTCCTGCTTCAGCCTCCCAAGTAGCTGGGACTACAGATGCATGCCAACACGACTAAATAAGTTTTTGTATTTTTCAGTAGAGACAGGGTTTCACCTTGTTAGCCAGGATGGTCTTGATCTCCTCACCTCATGATCCACCTGCCTTGGCCTCCCAAAGTGCTGGGATAACAGGTATGAGTCACTGTGCCTGGCCTATTTTATTTTTGAAAAATGTAATGATGACTAATCTTAACATATCAGCTTGAATATTTGATTTCTACATGACATAACCATAATACATACTTTCAAAATCACAAACATCCTCCCACTAACTTCAGTAAAGTCAGGTTCTCTATGCTCTGTTGGGATTTATTACAATATTATTCACTAACTTTTTTTATAAAAAAAATTAAAAATATATGTCCTCTTTCTGTTTTTTTTTTTTTTTCAAATTTTATGATGTATGAATAAATCTTACTCAAACCAAAAAAAAGGAATCTGATTAAAATATTTCCGTCTAGCTCAAAGCTTATAGAAAATACAGGAAAGAAGAACATGGCTAATGATATTACAGCAAATTCCAGAATGAGAGAAACAATGAAGGACAAATAACCCAGTTCCATCAATAAATAAGTTGCAAAAGATTAACTGAAAGTGGACCAATAGATTAAAAGGTACTTTAAAAACATGTCAATCGAATGCCATTTTCATTCAAACAAATTAACAGTAAAAACAAAAAATGAGACAATCAGAAGTTTGCAGACATAGAATTTGATAATACCAGGAAAGTTCTGTAAATATTTGTAGGAGCCATTATGCTACTGAGGTTTAAAAAACAGTACTTTCTTTTAAAGACGCATTCTGAAATATTTATTGATGTATGCATATTATATGATGCACGAGTTCGCTTCAAATAATCCATGGAGTTAGGAATGAGCGAAAGGTGGTATAAATGAAACCAGATTGGCCATAAATTGATATATGTTAAGTCATTAAACCTATATGTGTGATAAGCACAGAGATTATGCTATTCTAATTTGCATATATTTGGAATTTTCATAATAGAAATTTTTTAGAAACAAAGCTATCATTCATTATGAACAGAAAGCCAAAATAAAATGTAGCAAAGAAATACATGGAATAATTCATTGAAAACAGAGAAAACTCAATGATTCAGTAATATTTGGACAACGGAGAGGATTCTGCCCAGGACTTGGCTGGTGTTCCATACATAATGTTGATCTAGAATAGAGAGCCTGCAAGAACCAGAGCAGGTTAAAAACTTCAAAACTAATGTATCTGAATTATGTACTAATAGAAGCATGAGAAAAATATTAACATCAACTAGAAAGTAAAGAAAAAAATGTTTCCTTTTTAACTTTATTTCACGGACCAAACACTAAGTCAGACCTGTAGATGTGAAGAAAGCTTTATACATTGAAGGGAATGAGTGAAGGAGGTTTGAGAGTAAATAGCTGAAACAGCACTTTTGTAGTGTTCAAACAGTGAGTATTAGTCTTTTCTACCAAAAACTGAGCATTTAAACCTAAACTGTGTATTAATGTCTTTCAAGGTGCATATACTTTTTTTCATTAATTTTTCTTAGATGGATGTTCATTTTGGAATCCAGTTACCCAAACTGATGTCAATATTTTTGCCTTTTATTTTACCAGTTTTGCACAACTGGGCTGCAACAGTATTATATGTGACAAAATAATATAAGATATCCATATTACTATTTCTGAGTGTTTGCCTCAAGGCTTGATTAGAAAATTTTAGCCTTCTGTTGACCCATCCCTGGTCTTAAGTTGGGATTACAGTTAACTTGAACCTACTATTCAATCAATAATTGAGCTATTCTTCTAAGACGCATTCTGTTTAACACTGAAGGAAACTAACACAGCTTGACCCTTGTGAAGTGTTGTGAAGAGCTGCAGTCAAGTGGAGACTTCTTTTATTCTAGTTGGAGTATTTTGCTGCTATCTTTACCTTGAGCTGGGCAGAATTGTGAATAGCTACAAAAAATTCCTTTATCTTTGTTGCTTCAATGTTAAGAGGCCTTACTGACACAATGACATTAAAATTGGATTGAGTCTGTAGCTAAACATTTAATTTTAATGCTTGCAATAAGTTAAACTAAGACAATAATAGCTACCATTTACTGAGTATGTATTTTAACCAAGCACTGAACTTGAGAGCTTTCTATAGAGCATTATATTTACATTTTGCATTATTTATTGGCATTCCAAAAGACTATCCAGCCAGTTACTCCTATCAAGTCCACTGCTCTTTCCTGCAGACTGCAATGGCAGAGCTATTGTAGCTTTTAAATATGTATTCAGCAGTGGGCTGGGACCAGCCCATACTGACTCAAGAGACTGTCTTTTCCCAACTCTACATTAAGTGACATCATATTGGTAGTTTCAGATGGCTAGGATGGGAGAATTTACACTATAGAAATCAGTAAGAGAGCCAGTTGCTAAACATATACCAACATACTGCTGTATGCAACCTTCGTTCATTCTCCAAGAAGAAATTTTGTCATTGGGAGTATTTGACATGGCCCAGTTATTGCTACTTTAGACACAGTTTATAGTTAAGACATGATTCAGTTTAAAGAGATAAAAGGCAAGAAATCAGGTTCGATAGTCTTGTCACAGGTAGCTGTTCTGCCCTCCAGCTATCCCTGAATTTGTCTCATTTCATGAAAGAACCAAGTGCGGGAGCCATGGTCCTATGGGCATTCTGTCAATAACTTGGGAAGAGGATTTGGTGGAAGACTCTCTAATTCATGGGTCAGCAAACTAGAGCCTGTGTGCTAAATCTGCTGATTTTCTGGTTTTATAAGTAACATTTTATTGGAACACAGCCACGCCCATTTGTTTATGTGTTGTCTAAGGCTGATTTCACACCTCAACAGAAGTGCTGAGTGGTAGTGACACAGACTGTATGGTCCCCAAAGCCAAAAATATTTACTATCTGCCCCTTTACAGATAAAGTATTCCATGAGTGGCTGGGGCGTAGGGATGTGTCTGGTATATGGATGATGCTTTATTCTGGATTTAGTTCACGTAAGAATGAGGTAGGAATAAGCTCCATTTCTTTGTTTTTCCTTAATCTAAGGAAGAGACTTGAAGAAATCTAAACTATGTGCTAAACTTTATCCTCATGTACTCATGTAATTTCATCATGTAGAAGAATAATTGCATTCACTATGTCAGAGAAACGTTGTACGGGCTTCAAATAGGTTGGGCTGCCCAGATACTCTACCTGGATATTCTTATTCAATTATTCATTCATTCAACAAATGAATCCAATATTTATTAAAGCCCTAATAAGGACCAGCCTACTAGGTTTTGGGCACTAGAGATATACTCACAAATAATCCAGGCTCCTGTTCAAAAAGAGCTTATATTTTAGTGGGAACAGCATATAGGCATATACTTATTTGGTGGCTGTCTAATACAATGTCAGGAAGTGATACATATTATGAAGAAAAAGCAGGAAAGGTGTCCAACAGTGAATGAGGTGCTTTTTAAGATGGTTAGGAAAGGCGTCTCTATAAAGATCACATTTGAGCAGAGAGATCAGAATAAAGTAAAGAAGTGAGTCATGCAATTCCTGGTGAGAATGCAATTCCTGGCAGAGAGAACACAAGGGCTAAAGTTGACTAGCAGGCATGGTTGGGAAAAGGCAAGGTAGAGAGAAAGGGGATGAGTCATGAGAGCTGATGCCAGTAAGGTAGACAGGGGCAAGGTCATATATGGCTTCTCAAGCAAGGAATTTTGCTTGTTATTCTAATGACGTGAAAACCACTGGCAAATTATGAGGAGGCTGCTGATTTGAAACAATTTACACTTTAGCACCCTCTCTTCTTTATGTAGTGGAGATGACTATGGTTGATAAAGGAGAAGAACAATTATCATGAGGCGATTGCAACAGTACAGCAAGAAACAACCCGAGTTTTTTGGGCCTAGACATTACTGGGAACCATGAGAAGACAGTTAAAAGGATTTCTTTTCTTTTCTTCTTTTTTTTTTTTAATCAAAAATGCTTGCAGACTTTCTAAGTCCTCTTTATAATTGAATGCTGAGTTCTTACCACATGGAACAGAGATTTGGGAAGAATTTATATATTCATTCAACAAACATTGTTCTTTAATATGAAAACAACAGGTGCTATGTGCTTGAGATTAGAAACTAAAAGAAGGTCAATTCAGTGGAAAATAATGCACAGCAATCAGTCCTCACATATCAGCTCCTCTTTTTACTTTTTAAAAACTCTTCCCATTCTGACCTCGGCCACCTCCACTAAGTTCTCTGCATCCGTGGGATAACTCTGGGGCCATGACTACTCCTTGAGGCTGCTATCATTGAGGTGCTCTTGTCATCTAGAGTTTGAGTATGAAAGGCACAGATTAAAATAGAAAATAATCTATGAGCAACATATGCACATACGTGCGTGCACACACATCTTAAGTCCAATATGCAGTTGCTGAATTTTCTAATCTTCCCTTTCATAAATTTTACCTATCACTATGGTTAGGTGATTCTTCAGCCAATTACCCTACGGAATTCCTTTAATTAATGTTTTAATTCTGGTAAACTCAACTCTCCCTATTTCTCTCTTATCCTTTCATGTTAAGCTTCTAGGTGACATACACTAAAAATTTTAAACAGATTTCCTTGAAGGTCTTTCCCATTGTTTGACATAGAAAAGTATCCCTTCTCTTACTAACTCCACAGCTCTTTGTGTTGCCATGGATATTGTGAATTCAATATCTGTTCCCAAAGTAATGTTTCTTTCTTTGTCTTAAACAAAGAGCAGTTATTTAACTGATTGAAATCTTCCAAATACAACATGCAAAAGTAGCTGGCTTTCCACAACAGGAAGATTTAAGCCCTGAGTGAACATTCTGGCATTTAAGAGACTGGTAGCTATGTTCCTTGTCATATGGGTCTGCCTGAGACTCCAACGGAACCTTTCAATGTCAGCTATAGTTCAGGGTATATAAAAGTAGAGACAAGGGTGTGAATGAACTGGCAGGCAGTTCTCAAAGCTGAGAATAGAGGTAACCACCTAATATTCCTGAGCACAGAGGTTTTGAATTTCAATTCTGTGCATTCCTAATTGTAACAAAAGGAATTTCAGTGTGGCTTAAAAATTATTAGAGAGTCAAGGAAATAATATGACTATGAAAAGTTTCATGTAGTATATATAAAATATATATCATGTTCTTGATATATGTTTAATTTTGAAAATGCTCTATGTGTACAACTTAACCATATTTTCTTTAGTGTTATGCGGAAGATAAAAAATAAAATGAGGACTTGGTAATCCTCCCCAAGGTATGGGTGAACGACACTGGACTTCCTTTAACACATAAGCAATGCTTAGGAGTGTGCCAGAGGAGCTTGGAAGGGTTAAAGTTTTGTCTGTGACACTGAAATTGAGGCCAGCTGTAGGTCATATTCACGTCCCAGTCACAGGAAAATGAACCTGTGAGACAGAACCTAATTATCTGCTAAACCAAAAGCCAGTCTCAGTTCAATAACTTACGACAGAGCTAGCAGCCAGATATACTGTTACCATGGCAACTTTGGAAAAAGCTCCACTACAGTTGAGAATAAGGAGGAAGGGAAAGAGAGTGTAACCCTAAATGTGCTGTAGCCGTTTGATCTCCGACAAGTGGGTCCATCTAGGAAAGCGGGTTATTCTGTATGTCACTGCCATTGTCTCTTCACTTTAATATCTGCTACAATTATTGAAAAGGAAAATGCAATTACAATGTCTTCTGGGCTTAAAAACTATTCCACTCTTTAACGAATAAATGAAAATTAATTTTAAAGAGAAAAGTATAAGCTTTCTCTTTCTCTTCCTTCATGCCATCCCTAAATACAGATAAAGCAGGACACAAAGGGTGAGAATTCTTGAATACTTTATCATTGTCATAAATGAAGGTTGTGCCCATGAAATTCACTGTCAACCCTATTTTCTTCTGCCTTGCAAATGCCAAGATATTTTGAGGAAAACCTTTCAGGAACTGAAGCAATAGTATTTGCTTTCCTAAGGGATAGAAGTGAAACTGGAGAATGGAAAAGACAAAATGTTTTTCTGTGAATTATGCCTAAACTTTCAAGTGAAATAATTTCCTGGGATATTAGGATAAGAAGAATCAAACATTAGAGAAAAGGAAAAGCCCTGTCAGGTTGGTCATTTTTCTTCAGTTCACCTTCGTAGTTCTTTCTGGAATAGCACTGGAATTTCCATTTAGATGGTGATATGGCTTTATGCACATAAAAACTTCAGAAATCAGTTACCACAAATACTCTGAAAACAGCATCTCACTAAAAATATTAGCAGATAAGAGACAAGAGCTTATCATACAGCCATATGCACTTTGAGGAATAATTCAGAAATACATTCCTCTATTTTTTTTTCATTCCCAACGGAGGCAAATCATGCTAAAGCTTGTCAGTTATAATTATTGGATTTCAACATATTTGACAATTTTGGTATGTCATTAATGATGTAATAAGACACATGTGGCACATAATGTTATCACTTGGGGTTGCTATCCAGCTGTAATATCAAATTTGAATCATATAAATATCTGTATATAAATATACAGATATAGCAGTGTGTTTCTTTATGTATAACTCATAAACCCATTGGGTTTGGAATAAGAAGAGAAAGGAATATGGAGATGAATAATATCCTTTTCATATGCATGAATAGCTTTGCAGTAATGCAAATGAGAAAACACAAAATGGAAAGTAGGTTTCTTCTAGCAGAAATATGACTAAGAATGTAGTCTGAAATTTGCCAATAAATTAGAGTCACTTATGATATCTCTGGATTTTCTTTAAGATGTCACATCTTTTAAAAACACTTTACCCTACCCTATTATATTATATATTCAGTATATAATTATGTAAATATGGAAATCCACAATTTCAGATTCTTTTAAACTGCCATGATGCATGAAAAGGAGCTTTAGAATTGTTCGACAGAAGGTGTGTTGAGGTGTGGGGGCAGAAGAGCAACACCAAAGGGCAAAATGAAATTTCTGATTAATTTTCAGGTAGAAGTAACCTAACCTCTGCTTATGACCCTAACTTATTTTCAAATAAATGAAGCCAGAAAGTATACCCCTATCTAAGATAGATGTTTCTGAGATCAGATTATTAAAGGGCTTACAAAGATGCCAACTAAAACAATGAAGTCCAATACACACTTTGGGTCCTGTTACTCCTAATATACGTTTTTCTCTTAATCTTTCCACTTACATAAATTAGTTAGGAAAGTAAATGAATTAATTTTATCAGAATATCATCTGAAAGAGCTATTGATTCAAGAGCTTTTACATTTTAGCCTTATCACACATGATTAGCTTGCAGATATGAGCTTAGTAATGATACAAAGCACCAAATTTCACTGGATTCACTGTTCCACATGAATTCTCAGGAAAGATATTAGAAGCACTAACAAAGAAATCATGCTTGTTTTCCTCTTGGTGATTTTAGTCAATGATTTTGAAAAGATGTGCCATTACAGTCTTTCTGAACTGTTTCTTTAGCACCATCATCAATTCCCTACAGGCTTGTAGGTAGGTGTGTTTGTGTGTGTCTATGCTTTGCATTTTTGTTTTTGTTTTGACTCTTGCTCTGTCACTTAAACTGGAGTACAGTGGCATGATCTTGGCTCACTGCAATCTCTGCCTCCCGGGTTCAAGTTATTCTCCTGCCTCAGCCTCCCAAGTAACTGCCGTTATAGGCATGTGCCACTATGCCCAGCTAATTTTTGTATTTTTAGTAGAGTCAGATTTCGCCATGTTGGCCAGGCTGGTCTCTAACTCCTGACCTCAGGTGATCAGCCAGCCTCAGCCTCCCAAAGTGGTAGTATTTACAGGTGTGAGGTACCATACCAGGCCTGCTTTGTTTATTTCTAATTATAATCCCAAAATATTAAGTGAGAGCTGTGTGAAGCATATGCTCCAACCAGCATAAAGGTTGTGATATGTTCAATTAACATTAAACAAATAAAATACAATAAATTGTAGCTGAAACTAATTCTACAACTTAAAATAATTCACTTGCCATATGGAAGGTATTTAATGTATTTGTTGTTGACTGAGTGAATGAATAAATGAGTCTATTTGCTAAGGACCAAGGACTTGATTATCTGCATAAAGACAAAGGAAGAAAAAGTAAAGTCTGAATGAACCTTAGAAAAACAGAAAAGACTATGCCTTATGCTACTTTTGGATAAGCTATATAAAAAAAGATTCCAGTTTTCAAGGTTTTTAATTCACTCACTGAAAAGGAAAAGAAAATCTAGAACAATAGTTATGACCATGGTATCTGCAATATTAAAATGGACTAGAATATTCTGGAATGTATGATAATTTAATGTATAATAAAGGTGGAATTACATGTCTCTGATTTTCATTGCCTCCCCTAGAGGTTGTAAAACTAGGAGTGAAATAGGGAATATTTGCCTATATTCAATTTTATCTTCTCTCTCTAGGACATTAGTCTCTTTACTGAACCCAGTCTAGAAAGTTTCATGGTGTTCTACGTGATGGATAACTACTTTCAGATCATATCCTAAAGTCTTCTCTATTTGATAGTTAACTATGATAAATTCTATGATCCAGATCTCTAGGATTAGGCCAATATTTCTGTCCATGTGCTTTAGAAATTAAAAGTAAAATCATTTGTTTCTTATTAGCCCATCTCTTCCAAACCAGATCAATTTGTTTAGAGTTCATTATACTTGCTATACATTTAAAAAATAATCTAACAAGCACTTCAAAAATCTTCTGTTTATTCTATTCTTGATTGCTTCTTCCTTCCCATGAAAGAAATAAATGTCATAGATCAAATGAGTAGAGAAAAACAGAGCAACAGCATAATGTGAGGAGGTAATTATTTTGGTTTAAGTTTTCCAGATATCATTCCACTCTACAGTCAATCACTTGGCTCTGTTAATTCTACCTCCTAAATCTTTCTCTGATCCCCTTTGCCTTTCTAATCCCACTGCCATCATCTTCATTCAGGCCATTATCATCTGCTCCAATTAATATCCCCAGAGAATCATTACATATAATTATATATAAGTGTATTTATCAACATAATACTGTTCATATTGGTGAAAAATAAGGTAGAAGTAAATTCAATGTACACTTGTGGGCTGACTGGTTAAATAAATTATATTAGCGTATCAAAAAATAACATAAGCATGTAGTATTCACTTAGTATATAACAATTGGAAAACAAGTTACAAAAGATCATTAAAATATTGAGTACATGTATGTGATGAGAAAAGAGATAGAACATATGAATTTACATTGTATGATAATAGGAGATATTCTCTGGGGATTAGATT